CCCCTGGCCCGGGCCGGCTGTCGCCGCCCGTCCGGCACCACGGGCTCACAGGGGCCTGGAAACGTTTCCGGAGTGCTAAGCGGACTGCCCGGTATGAAACATGAAACACAGCCGAGGTCATGTAATGCCTCAACAAAGCCTGGTTCACCGAGCAGTTTGTTTCTTTCCCATTCAAATTAGACAAACGGAAGCGCAAGCACAGCAAGGCAGACACAGAGCAGAGCTGTGAGCTCTCTCCTGGCCCTGGCAAGCGGTTCCTGGCTTGGCTCCAGTTCCGTATTGTCATCGTTATCCCATTGCATTTCTGTCCAAGCATCTATCACATTAGGACAAGCAACTGCTCCTGCATCTCATCTGTCTGTCTGGACCCATTCTAATGGAATACACACCAGAATCCTGCAAAGTCCAGAATGGCCTGAATGCTGCTCCTTTGGCTCCTGTGAACTCAGGAGAAGTACTGTAGGAACCAGATCAAATTTCTGGTTCTTGTTTGATCTGAAATTTGCAATTGTAGTATTTATTAGCTGGGGTTTAGTGGTTCCTTTAATGTAACATGAGTATGTAGTCTGCCTGCACATATCTTTAGCTTTGTATTGTCACTCCAAGGCCTCAGCATCTGTCTGGATTGGAGATCATTCGAGATCTATGTGAGGGGAAGCTGGAAGGTGGAGAAATTGGCTCAACAGAAATAACCTTCACTCCTGGGAAGATCAGAGGTGGAACCCACATAGCAGATACAAAAACAGCAGGGTATGTCTTTGAACATAGAGAATGACTGACCAGTAACTGCTCTTAACTGAGTAACTTTAAAATTATGACAGAAGTAGTTTTGGTAACTTTAAAATTATCACAAAAGAGCAGGAAAAGAAAGAACATCAGTACATGGGTAATGGGCCAATAGCTGTGGTGCCTGAGCCAGATGTATGTGACCAAAGAACCTTTAGTGTAGGCAGGATCTGTGTGAATAAAGTACATGCAAGTGTAATAGTTCTAAAATTACAAGTGATATATAAGTTGAACACTTGAATAATGTTAAGCAAAAACCAGCTGCCCTTGTATTTAAAACTTTATCATTTTCTCACATTAGTACATTACATATCAGGTCAAATGCGTCAAATTATTTAAGTATCTCAAATCCGTGAGATCTGAAATAATCCTCACCATATAATAAAGTAAATTTTGATATTTTACTTATGCATGTAATGGTACAATATGGGACACTAGTCTTTTGGAACTGGGAACATATTCCATCCACCGTTCTTTGTGTCTGTGTTTCTTCTGTCCTGTGTTTCTGTGTTGGGTGGATCCTTTGTTCTTGGAATCTTGCAAAACTGAGTAAATGGGCTTAGCTGTGGAAGGCTGGCATGAACAGTTGTTCAGAAGCATAAACTAGGTTAGGCATAAGTTAAAGTGTATAAATGACTAAGCTGATGCCTTTTGCTTAACACAGAAAGGTTTGAGTAAGCAACAGTGCAGGAGAATTAGTAATTAAGCACAAGCAAAAAAAGAGAGAAACGGGATAGTTCACAAACATTTGGAAGTTATTTAAGAAAACAAAACCGTATTTTCTTCAGTTCAGTGGTGATTACTGTTTTCACAATTCAAAATTATGTTTGAAACCCCTGTGAGATAACTGTTTTGTTTTGCTGAACAAACTTATTTTCGGAAAATTTATTTTGGAAGATTTTTATTATCTTTTAGATGTGGAGAAGTTCAATGATAGGAGAATCTTGTACTAAAAGCATATTCTCTATGCTCCTGAATTTTCTTGTGTGGGATGCTGTCCAGCTTCTAAGCAATTTTGTAGTTTTCTAAGTATTGTTTTGTTAAATAAGTATTAAATATTAAAACTGCTGCCTAAGCCTGTTCCATTTTTGTCATCTGCTAGCTTAACCTACAGTTTTCACAGTCCCATCAATATACTAAATAAGCTACATTACTTTTATTTCAAACAGGAATATTAGATGCAATTATTGTAAAACAAAAACCTTCATATTTAGGCTTGCTAAGGATATGAAGTTTTAAATTAGTGTTTTTTAAGGCTAATGAGTTTATTTTATAGATAATATTGAAAATCAAATACTTATGAAAATGCTCTGGAAAGTAATTTGCCTTTGATATGTAATGATTTTATGGAATTCTGTGGATTATGATTGCACAACATTTGAGTATCTTATAATTGCTTTTAGGAGTGTGTGTCTACTGATGCAGGTAGCAATGCCCTGTGTGCTGTTTGCTGCTTCCCCATCAGAACTTCATTTAAAAGGTGGGACTAATGCTGAGATGGCTCCTCAGATAGACTACACAGTCATGGTAGGGAAAAATTTCTTTGGCTTGGTGCATCTTTCATGCATATATATGCAATGTAACTACTGTACTCCTGTTGCTCTTACTGCAAGTTTATTTGTAGTTATGGAATTAGGCATAGGCATATTACACTATTAGTGTACTATATATAGAGAGTCATATCATAGAATCATAGAATGGCCCAGGTTGAAAAGGACCTTAAAGATCATCTAGTTTCAACCCCCCTGCTGTGGGCAGGGTTGCCAGCCACTAGAGCAGCCTGCCCAGGGCCCCATGTAGCCCGGCGTTGAATTCCTCCAGGGATGGGGCATCCACAGCTTCTCTGGGCAACCTGTGAAAGCAATGAGTGTTTCATGGAATTCTCTGAAACAGCAACTAGATTATTTTCTTTTAATTACAAAAGAAAATTTAACTTAAAATATATTCTTTATCCTAGAAGTGCTGTGAATTGTTAAGAATTTCTTTTCCTCTTTCCTTAACAAAATCCTTTTACATGAAGTGTCATTTGGAAGGAAGTATGTGGAACATCAAATAAGTTGTATGGATGAGACTGGCTATCTTTTTTTTTTAATAATGTAACTGACATTTTTGTGTTGAAATTTTATTTTTTTTGGGAAGACTTTGTAAAATAGTAGGAAATTATAAATGCAAAATAGACTTACCCTGTGTTTTTATGTATGCTTCTTTTTCAGGTTTTCAAGCCAATAGTTGAAAAGTTCAATTTCACATTTAATTGTGACATAAAAAAGAGGTGAGTTACAGAGACATGTGGCAGAGGCAGGACTTACTGAACCAGTGTGTGACCACAGAGGCACACACACAAAGTGCCCTTAATCAAGCTGAGGGATGAATTTATAATACGTGAGCTAATCCGCACTAGCTGCCCCTGTGTGTACTGTCACCATATGATGAAGGTGATATGGTTCTTTCCTGGCTTTTTTTTAATTGCTGAGTCTTCAGCTGCTGTTTAATATTTCCTATGGGGTACCCCTGAAGGAAGCACATGCTGAACAGGCAGTACATTACTGAGCTTCTTCTGAGGTGCCGCTTATGTTGGTGTTAGGTAGTTAATGTGTGGTATGAGGTAATACTGTTAGAGAACCTAATTCTATGATAAAGATTTCTAAGGCACGCATCAAGAAAATTCATATGTAGCCTAACAGAGAACATAAAAATGTATAATGAATTATACAGAGAGCCTTCTGGCTCTTTTCTTGGTTTCCTTGTGATTTTTGCACTTAATTATATCTGATAACTGTTTCTAAATAGGGGCTACTATCCTCAGGGAGGTGGTGAAGTTGTAGTCCAGATGTCACCAGTCAAAGAGTTGACCCCAATAAACTTAACAGAACGCGGCACAGTGACAAAGATATATGGAAGAGCATTTGTTGCTGGAGCGCTGCCTATAAAAGTGAGTGCCAATAATAGCTCTGGTAGTATCCAACTTCATATATCTATATAAAATTGCATCTAATCTGCTTAAAATGCCTCTACTGTTCCTGTATTCTGCAGTCTTTAACATACAAAATAAGTAGACTTATTAAATAGTTTCAGTTATTCAGGCTGTAGAATAGAATTTTTGACGTTTCTAAAATGCATTAATTGCATAGGAATATGGTAGCAGCTAAAACAGGAAGTGTATATATATCAGTATCCTTGATATCCTTCATATGAATGTTCAAAACTCTAGCATATATTGAGGGTTGTCTTCTATCTGATTTACTTGGATTATTTTAAACCTGCAATCATGGCACTCCTTCATAGATTTCTGGGTAAGCCATGGTGCAGTGCAATAGACAGAGATCAGACTGCGTCAAACGTTTCAACCATTGCTAAGGGTATTAGAAAGAACAAATTAAGGGTAGGTTTAGCCAAAGATAAACCAGAGAGAAATTTGCTCCTCTGGTACCCCCTTCCTTCTGTTATTCCTGTCCTGTCTGTTTTTGTCCTGAGTGGGGCTCCTTCTCACACACAGGCTAGGAATTAGGAGAGGAAGGAAAAGGAGAAACTGAGTTAGTTACTTTTGAAGAGCTGTGGACTGCTGGTTTTGGTTTTGAAATCTCCAAACCTATTAATGTTGGCTGTGATTTAATCACACGGTGGGATAAGCTTCATCTGCCCCCACCTGCCTGTGATTTAAAATTGTTATTTCATGTATTTTATGTCATAGAGTATATCCTGTATGTAATAATTGTGGGGTTTGGTTTGTGTTTTTTTTACTTTTTTGGGGTTTTTCTTTTGCAATCTAGTATCTTGAGATAATCAAGACTAAAATCAACTCTTTATCCCTATGAATGGAAAAAAGTTCTTGAATTTCTGTTGATATTGAAGCTTCTACATACATCACTATAACTGTCATTTATTCAGCATTTAATGTCACCTTAATTTTGCGCAAAAATTCTCAGAAGAGAGGATGTTCAGTGCTTGCTTGTAGGGATTTTATAACAATCCTTTGGTTTTCTAGTTAATGAAGTAGTCTCTTTATTCAGGGATTCACTGTAATAATTAGATGCATGAGGAAAAAGTATTAATATAGTTACACAATTAATGTTTTTACTTCTTACTTTGTTAGCTGGCAAAAGACATGTCAGCAGCAGCAGTGAGATGCATCAGAAAAGAAATCAGAGATCTTTACATTAACATTCAGCCTGTTCGAGAACCTGATGATCAAGCCTTTGGGACTGGAAGTGGAATAATGTAAGATTATAGAATCATAGAATGGTTTGAGTTGGAAGATGAGCCCAAGCTTTTTATTTATATCTGTAACCTTGCTGGTTGATTAGCTGGATCTTGATTACGTATCTGATAAACAAAGTGTAATGTGAGTGATTTTGTTCTTAATATTGATTCTGTTCTTTCTGCTTAGCATTGTTGCAGAGACATCAACAGGTTGTTTGTTAGCTGGGTCATCACTTGGCAAGAGAGGTAAGAGTTCCATGAAGTATGCCTCTTTCAGATTTAACTTGATGTACAATTAACAAATAGGAATCTGAAGCATACTCTGTTCAAAGATCTAATGCTTTGAGTGTTGCATTTTTCAATGGATGTTGTTTAGTAATAAAGGACAGTGGAAATGAGCATATTTTAAATGTAGTAAATGGAATCGTATGCTTCTGCACAGTGACAAAACTTACAAAATTATTAAAGTAACCTTTTATCAGGATTGTTACGGATCACTGAGTGAGTTGAAAATGCTTCTGGACTTCAAGAACATACAGTTTTTGTGGTTTACCAGTGAAGTTTTTGTTCAACAGAAAAATCTAGATGGGTATCTAGATTAAAAGGAATAGAAGTGATTTTGGTTTTAAGTGATTTGAATGAAATGTTTCTCTGACTAAGTGGGGCTGCTTTCTTTCCACTGCTTAGGAAGTATGAACTATATGTCATCATAAGATGGGAGGGATTTTTTAAGCAGACTTTTGAGGAAGGAACATGGAAATAAGGTTTTAAAAGTTGATCATATCTTGTCTGCATTTTTTTTCCTTCTGTATTTTTAAAATGTTAAATAATAATTGACAGCATCCTAATCTCCTGTATTTCTCTGTTAGGAAAGAATTCTGACAAGGTTGGCATTGAAGCAGCCGAGATACTGCTTAGGAATCTTAAACATGGTGGAACTGTGGATGATTCTCTGCAAGACCAAGTAAGGTTCCTGTATGTGTTTACATGAAATGGAAGTAGCAGGAACATGCATGTATGTATTACTTGTAAAGAATGTAAATCTCAACAGGGAAAGAATGAGATGTAGATTTCAAAGATAGAGTCTATCTCCACAGGTAGGCATGGCTTTAGAGAATTATTTGGTAATTAGAAGTCTTAGGAGATTTCTGGGTATGGTCACAGCATCACTAGGATTAGAAAATTACATACAGTTCTTAGGAACCACAGGTGTTCCTGGCTTTGCACCAACACCCTTAAATTTTCCATTCTGTAAATCTTAGTAGGTATGGAAGAAAGAGGTAGGAATGTGCTTCTATTTAGCACTCCTTGTAGCAGAATAAAAATAGCTCCCTGGTTACATGTTAAGAATGATACTAAGTGAAGCTATTGGAGAACAGAATATCTAGGAGATGCTCCTGTTTGTCATGCTCACCAAATTTCATTAGAGAATGAAGACCCTCCACGATCTTATTTTCAACAGTGCAGCCTGATAAGAATCTTGGGCTGTTCTAGACAGAATGTTACCTCTTGGCTGTAAACACCTGGCCACACATTATTATGATGTAGTGTAATAGGAATTATTTAGTTCTTGGACTCATCCTATTTCTTCCAAAGCATGCAGAGTACAATTGGTGGAAACATGCCACAGCTAGATTCAGTGCGTACGGGAACTGCTCGGTTATATCACGCTTTACAGGGTGTTTCTCATGGTGATGTTTGTAAATCAAATCAGATTTTTAAAAATATCTGTCTGGTGAATATGTGATCAGAAAATGTTAGAAATAAAAAAACTCTTCCTGAGTTTTTCTCTCCATAAAGGTGAGAGAATCTGACATCACTTTGTGGAATTTCAGGGCAGGAGGGTGGGGGAGAGCAAAATTAAATGTAGTAGCAGGAATTCAGTGGCAAACTCCACTGTGGAAAAGTAAAAGCCCATTTGTAATAGGCATTACAGTAGTAATTTCAAAGCTTCTTGAGCTCTCTTAACACTCAGCATCATGAACTTTTATGAAACTTGTCAGACCACATTTTTACATCTACAGACATTTTGCATGGTTTTCCTTTTTTTTTTTTTTTTAAATCAATAAGTGCCTAGGATCTGAAAAGTTACTTAATGATTACCTTTCCCTTCCTTTCAGCTGATCATTTTTATGGCACTAGCAAAGGGAGTGTCTAGAGTGAAAAGTGGACCAATTACACTTCATACTCAAACGGCTATACACTTTGCAGAGCAGCTAACAAAAGTGAGTCCAAAAGTTCAGAAAGTTTTACCTATTGGTTGTCATCCAGTAACTAGGCAACGTATAGTTTAATGGGCATTGTGAACTGAACTTGATCGTGGAGGGCAAGCATTGATAAAATAATTGCTGCAATATTTATATGGGTGTTTACCTCTAGAAAGTGAACATACTTTAGAGTTAAATGCCTTTAGAATGGTTAGATACTTTTACCATGTTTATTTAAATGAATGAATTTTTAAGGAAATCAGTCAAAGCTGTAATATACATAAACACATGGCAATACGATTATTGGGAATCAGATATTGAGTATTTAAATGTATATATGTTGTAACTTATTTAGTGATATATTTCTAATCCTGTTTTAGGCCAAATTTACTGTGACTAAATCTGAAGAGGAAGATCCCAGTAAAGATGCCTACATCATTGAATGCCAAGGAATGGGGATGGTAAACCCAAACTTATAGGGCTTAAAAAAAACCCCAGCAAACTGAAAAATGCAAAACTCAACATACCTCAGTGATTTATTGCATTACATTTCAATGGATGTTTTCTAATCCTGTTTTAGGCCAAATTTACTGTGACTAAATCTGAAGAGGAAGATCCCAGTAAAGATGCCTACATCATTGAATGCCAAGGAATGGGGATGGTAAACCCAAACTTATAGGGCTTAAAAAAAACCCCAGCAAACTGAAAAATGCAAAACTCAACATACCTCAGTGATTTATTGCACTACATTTCAATGGATGTATAAAATGCATGTGAACAGGAGGAGCCTTCTGTCACATCTGAGTGGTGTAACTTCAGGATGATGTCAAGTTTTTCCTTGGTGTGCTGAGAATCTGTGGAGTGAAAAATGGAAACCTCACTTTTTTTTTTGTTTTGTTTTGTTTTTTTTTTACTATTAGCAGCAAAATGAGTACAGACAGATAAATATAGAATACAAATTGAATAGATTGTATGCAAATAGAATACATTGTATGTATTTGAGAGCTTCAATTAGAAGCTTTGAAAATTCAGATTCACTGAAGTAGAAAATAACTATTTTGGTTTTGAAAAAATACTGATAACATTCTTTCCCCTTTAAAAAAAGATAAGTTTTATTCATTGGGAACCTTTATGTTATAAGGTATATGGAATGATGTGCACCATAAAATCTGTATCACTGTTCTTCCTTAACCATTTTGCTTAAATTGTGCATGAGGAAATAATAAAGCAGAATCACCTTATGAAAGCCTCCTATTTTTTTTTGCTGTTATCTCAGCAGGTTGTGTTGGTGTGAGATGGATACAAAGTAACTTTTCAGAAGCATAATTCCCTCCCTACAGAAAGAGCACTCAATGCGTAAAATAGTTGTCTTTTAAATCTTCTCTTTTCATCTATTTTAAAAAACCTTGTCAGGCAAGCTAAAACAATGTACCACATTACATCCCAAACAGAAAATTATTTTCTATCGACAGTTGTCCTTGTTTGCGTACTAACTGGGTCTACCTTTTCACCAAGCTGATGTTGTTTGTTCTTTTTAAAGGGAGTACTTCATTTCATCTGAGATTACGGAGCTGTTGAACACACATATACACACACACAGATACATACATCTGTGTACCCTGAGCACTGCATACACACCCAGGTGTATTTAGGCATATAAAATCCAGTGTCTGGATTAAGTGAGGCTTTCTGCCAATCTGGCCTTGATCATGCTACAAAAGCTTTTTCTGAAGTAAAAGGAAGATAAAAGGAGAGACAAGGCATAATTTATTTTGTATATGAAGAACTCAATCAGAGTTGGAAGCACTTAACCAAAACTATATAAATGCACTCTGGAAGCTTGAATTGATTTCCAGGTTTTTCACAGGCCAGTCTGCAGCCTCTGCTCTAAAATACCTTCTTCCTCAGTTGTAACTATTGAACATAACAGCTAAAGATGTAACAAAGTATCATTTATCTCACTCAGATAATTGCATTACTGTGCATTTCTAACACAAAAAAAAATCCTTTGCTGATATGCAAAAACGTTCACCAACTATCCACTTAATAATATCTTTCTTGTTAGCTTTCTTCTCTCTCCTCTGCAAAATCTAGTGCAAAAGAATGGGATGCTATTCATTTCTGACTTATTTTTTTTCTAATCCTGGGAACGGTCTGGAGGGGGCAGCAGATTCCTGCTTTTTTGAAGTATGTAATATTTACTCAGTGCTGTTGAAGAGAACCTCTCCGAATTACTAGTCTGTGCTGCTAAATGACTTTCAATGTTTCCTTTTCGAAGAATTCTGAATGTATTTTAAAAGAAAACAAAATCTTGAAAGAAGGCCCCTGAAGAGTTGTTGTCTGTGCTTAAGAAAACAAACTCTTTTAAACCATATTTGAATGGCTCTTTACCTGTGTCCACAATTCAAAAAATTAATATACGTCATTAATGTAACTTCTAATGGAGAGTTTTCTGCTGAAGTGATGGCTAGGTGTAATTTAAATCAACCTCCTGATCAAAGCACTGCTAACTCAGGAGTTCTATCCTGTTGATTAGAGTCTTGCCCAGTCAGGTTTTGATAATTTTCAAATATGGCAGTTCTACAATTTTTCTGGGCAACAACTTGTTAACAGTGCTTAACCACTCCCAGAACTGACACCCAATGTGAGCAGGCAAAAGGGTTAGGCTTTTTGTTTGTTTAGGTTTTGTGGGGTTTTTTTGTTTGTTTGTTTCTTAAGCTGAGGGAGTGCTTCTTAAATGGAAGTTACTTTTTGCTGGAGGAAACATACTGGGAAAGTGAGCTTCAGAAGAAAACATGTCAGAAGAAAATTATATAATCAGTTTTACCTTCCCCAGAAGATTTCTGGTATATGAGAAATACTCGGGTTGCTTTGCCAGCTGAGAACAAGGAGGCTTCAGTAAGCCCTAGAACTAAGATGATAAAACCAAAAATTTATTACAAATAGTAACATCCTTACTGAAAATTAATACAGAAAAGCATACTGAATACAGTTTGTAACCTATGTAGTTAAAGTATTCCTTTCTGCTACCTCTGAAGTTCAGTCATTGGATTCTCTATAATTTAATATCTTTTTACCATAATTGGATTCTCTATAATTTAATATCTTTTTACCAATTTCCAATCAAGCAACTTTCACAAAGTACAAGCAATTAATTTTTATTGTGCAATTCCAACTTTTGTAGAAATTTTGCTCCTTGAGAGATAATAAAATTGGCATTCTTTGTACTGTTATTCAAAGTAAATCAGCATTGTGTACATCTTTATAAATTACAATTCAGAATTAACACCCTCCCTTTAGGTTTTAAAATCCCTAGCAAGTGCCTTACGCACTTGGCCTTCTTGCCCTGTAATCACTGCTCACTTTAGCAATCAAATAAGAATGACTGACTTTCTTGCCTAATAGATTCTTTGTGGACTGTAAGCGTACTTAGATGTTAATGCCTAGATGGTTTAAAGACTAAGTAAATCAGCATAACTGGTTCCTGTCATGCTAAGCAAACCCTATGAATAAAAGCACAGCTAAATTAAATATTTTTAGATGTTAATGCCTAGATGGTTTAAAGACTAAATAAATCAGCATGCAAACCCTATGAATAAAAGCACAGCTAAATTAAATATTTAAATTTAGGCAGACATTTATGTATTTATGCACATATGTATACCGCATTATGTATGAAAAGTAGAATAAGCTTGAGCATGATTTTATATCTGGTCTCAAAGGTTGGCTGGAGTACCTTTTCATAGCTTTTTCATAGTTTTCTTTGCTTCTGAAAAACTATGCCAGTTTGCACACCTGAGATGTTGTCTGCAATGCTACAGAAAATTTTCCCACATCACAAATGCCCAAGATTGTCTTGGAACAATTGCAGCAAAAAAGAAGAGCTAGCAAAACCTTGAGAGAACTATCTCGTTAAAATTTCTAGCTCTGTCCAACACTTCCTGAAATTAGGTCTATCTAACTAAATATTTCTTCCTGAAAGAATTTTAAAATGCACTGGTTTTGTTTGTCAGGAAACTAAAAAAAAAAAAATCAACAAAACAAAACGAAATTCAGTTGAACTAAAAATTCCCTTTGAAAAACTGAAATGCAATTCCTGTCTTCCAAACAGACACACAAAAGCATATAAATGCTCAGCCAACATATTTAACAGAGATTGACAAAGCTCAGGTTATCAGAAAACAACTGCCTCTTAGTAAATACACGATAAATGGCAGCTCAGCAATACTGACAATTATTGCTGCACTTCCCCTCTCTCCCTAAGTCATTAATAACTGGCAGTCCTTGGTAGGCTCCTTGCAGGCCCGTTCAAGTGTCCAGCCTCCTTGTGACATGACCGCTGGGGCCACCGCTAGCTGGATGAGGAGGCTGGTGTGCTGGCCCGCCCTTGCTCACCTTTGTCACTGCAACACTGTCCCCGGATGCCACCCACGCAGTGCTTCCTGGACGGAGGGAACCTGGTGCTGGTTTGATTGGGCTTTATTGACTGCAACGTGTTTCTCCTTGGGGGTTAGAAAACCTCTAGATGGGAGACACGCACAAAAGATTTTACTCTTCAATACGATTACATTCCCAAAACAATTTTTACTCCCTGCCATACAAGCACATGCACGTACGGACACACAGGAGTTTATTACCCAGGCCCAACTCACATCCTGTCACCTCATGGTGACCTCTTACCAGGAAATGTTTATAATAATTCCTGTCCTGTTTTTATATACAATTATTATTAATATAGTTAATTACTCTTCATTGCGTATGTACTTGAACAAATTTTAACTGAGGTAATAAAATTCATAAAATGAATTTGGGACTACTAGTATCATTCATATTCTACCAAGTTGCTATTTTCCCTTTTCAGCGGGGTTCTGCATCATAAAATTTAAATCCTCCAGGTTTACATTTACTTCCAATTCACTTAGATTTTAAATCTACAAGTCGAAACATGAGCTGCAGATCTTGTTACATCACACTCCTACATTGCATGTGCTGTATGTACTTAAGCTTAAATTTTACAGCGCAATTAATTCTTAAAATTAATGCAGTGTGTGCAAATTAGTTGTTGGCAGTTAGTGGTGTAACTTTTCTTTTTTTAAACTTCCTGCCCTTTTTGAATATTAACTAATAATTACAGTGCATTACTTGAAGCTTTTTAACTTTCATTTCTATCCATTTGCAATCATATAATTTTTAGTGATAAGGTTGGATTAAGTCACTGGTGGGAATGTATTAACCTTTTGTTCAGGAAGAGATGAGACATTGCTTGCACCTGCTCTACAGATATGCACTGGGTTTTCTTATGTTAATCGGGCACATTTGAATCTTATATAAAAACTTCAGTGTGGGTGTATCGATACAACCACAATGCTTACATTTAATACTGCTGAAACAAGTAGTGGCAATGACTCACAAATTCTATATACCAAGGAAATGGGATTAATCCTCTCCAGCCGTGTGTCCCTAGTGTACTTCCACGGGAGAGGACTGTGTTTGGATGAATGC